AGCACTTTGGGAGGCTGAGGAGGGCAGATCACCTGAAGTCGGGAGTTTGAGACCTGCCTGACCAACATGGAGAAACCCCGTCTCTACTAAAAAATACAAAATTAGCCAGTGTTGTGCAAATGGAGGGTCAGCACCGAAGAGTGAGCACACCTACAGGTGGTGATGCACACCTGTAACCCCAACTACTTGGGAGGCTGAGGCAGGAGAATCACTTGAACCCGGGAGGTGGAGGTGGCAGTGAGCCGAGATTGTGCCATTGCACTCCAGCCTGGGCAACAAGAGCGAAACTCCATCTCAAATAATAATAATAAAACCTTCTTCTCTGGCAACACTTGTCTCAATGACTGGCTTTCTGTGAGGCAAGCAGTGGGACGTAGACTGAAACCCTGGTGTTCAATAACAAAGTTTGGTTCCCTGACCAGGAACGCCTTGCTTGTGGTTAGCTGCCACAGGCTGGGAGAGTTTCAGAAGCCCTCCTAACCTGCTGCCTGACTATATTTTGCATTCCTGATTGTATAGGAAGATTTTGAAAGTTGATATGTGCATTTAGACAAGTGAGTGGCTTTTATGGGTACCAGACAGCAGGATTGGCTCCTCTCAATTTGGGAGCTGAAGAATTTCCATTTGCAGGTTGAACAAGCCCAAACAACGGAGAGAGGAAAGCATCCTGATTGTTTCAGGATGCTTTCCTTGGCAGGCTTGTTGGCTGTTGCAACGGTTGAATTGTATTTTAGTGAGTGAGTGAGTATGTGTGTGTTTGTGTGTGTGTGTGTCTGTCTGTCAAGGCAGTCATGGGAGGTCAAGGTTCGATGCCAGAGTGCAGCCCGCTTGGGTGCACTCTTCAGGGCTGGTCTGAATGTAGTTGTGAGCTGATGGAGCCAGGGAACGTCTACAGCCACAGCATCCTGAATGTGCCCGATCTCATCTGATCTCATTAGTACATGATGTTCTTCTGTAGTGCTGTTTGGCCCCAGTGTTCTCTGGAGTCAGGAGCATGGACTGCCAAAAAAAAACAAGCTGCCATAGAAACCCAAAATTTTGGTTCACAGCATTGATTGTATTACATATCGGGGCAAACAAAGTTTAGCCACGTGAATGTGTTCATAAACAGGTGAGATCGTATTGCTACCTCATGGCTAAAATTCTGATGTAAAAGCTATTAGATCTTGCCAGGCATGGTGGCTCATCCCTATAATCCCAGCACTTTGGGAGGCCAAGGCAGGCAGATTGCTTGAGCCCAAGAGTTCCAAACCAGCCAGGACAACATGCCAAACCCTGTCTCCACAAAAAATTTTAAAATTAGCTGGGCATGATGGCACACACCTGTGGCCCCAGCCACTCAGGAGGCTGAGGTAGGTGGATCAATTGAGTGCAGGAGGTCGAGACTGCAGTGAGCTGTGATGGTGCCACTGTACTCCAGCCTGGGCAACAGAGTGAGACACTGCCTCAAAACACAAAACAAATATCAAGAAATGCTAAATGCTATTGGATCTGTGTGTGTGTGTGTGTGTGTGTGTGTGTGTGTGTGTGTGTATGTGTGTGTGTGCATGTTTTGACGTATTTACATATATATTGTATCCACCAAATTGGATTATAAATACAAGAATGCTCATAAACAAGTCCAAGTTTTTCAAGTCCATGTGACCTAAATAAATCTTTTAACAAACAAATTGGCCCTACGATTATTGGTAAAATAAAAATAGAAATGGCTTTGGGATTGTCAGCATACACTTTTGATTGGGTTTTATATTTGCCTCTGTTAGATATTTTGAGGTGTCAAGGTTTATCACAGAAGGTTATAAAACTATAATAAACCCAGCCACAACAAAATGATCTTTGTGTGAAATTTTTTTCAGCCTTGGCCCTCAGAATGAGAGCAGACCTGAACCCCACCCACAGCTTGCAGCCCAGCTCAATTGAACCCAACTGACCCACAGATCCTGGAGCAAGAATAAAGAACTGGCATTTTAAAGCACTGAGTTTTGGGGAGGTTTGTTACACAGTGTTATTTCAGCAATCACTAACTAATACTAAGTGTTTTGGGAAGCATAGTTACACTTTATGGGGTGTATAAGAGATGTATGTGTGTACAGTGCTTGTGCTTTGTGCCTAAGTAAATGGGATGTGGTGATGTACACAGAAAAACAAGGTTTATGAAGGATGAAACCAAACAAAGGAGCAAGCAGACCTACCCCAGAGTGAGCTCTATGCAATTTGTACCAAGACCCAGGTCAGAAGGTTCCTGTGCAGGAAAACCCACATTCTATAGCCCTGCCTCTCTCTGACTTGCCAGTGGTTTCTAGGAAGGTGGCATTAGCCAGACAGAGAGTATTTGACTTGACTGGCATTCAGCAAACCAGGGAAGAGGTGGCATGAGCCCAGTGGAGTCATGTTTGCCCACACAACCAACCTGTGTGTGCCTTGGCTACAGAGACTTGTCCCCACAGCAGGGCTTGGCAGCTGAGGAAGAGTCCCACACTACAACCCTGGAAGGTGAACAGAGGGCCTCTGTCTGGAGCAGAAAGCAGCTGTGAGAACATCAGCTGGACTGGGGCTTTGCAAGGAGCTGTGCCTCAGAGATCAAAGCCCCAGGATGTCCCTGCAAGCATCCCCTTTTCCTGCCCTTGTTCATGGCCAACTGAATCCAGGCTGCTTCTCAGCCCACCAGCTGCCACCTTGGGCAAGTAAACTAATTTCTCTGGGCCTCAATTTCTCAGCTTTAAAATAGGATTAAGTGTAGTATCTCGCTTGTAGATTGCCATCAAGACTGGATGAGTTAATTCCTGTAAAGTGGGATGGTACCTGGTCATTACTGAATGTGTGTCATCCGCCAGGCACTGTACTAAGTACATAAATGACCTTGCATCCAGAAACCATGTGTGATCAGTGTTATTATCTGACAAAGGTCCCCAGAGGACAGACCAGAATTCAACTGAAAGCAGTTTACTTGTGAGCTAACTCCAGAAAACACGAGTGGGGAAGAGAGACAGCCATTACCACTGTGGATAACTGGGCTCCAATCCTGCTAGATTAACTGAGAAGTGTGTAGAATATGCATACAGGGCATCTGTACACCTACTTTCCCCAGTCACGGTTGGAGGCTGCTCCTGGAGGCAGCATGACCAACCTTCCTGGTTTCCCCATGACTGTCCCAGCTTCAGCACTGAAAGTCCTAGGATCTGGGAAACCCCTCCTTCCCAACCTGCATGGCTGGTCACGTTATTTGGAGGGTACTCATTCCCCAGCACTTCCAGTGCAGCAAGCAGAGCAAGTATGCAGATGCAGGTGCCAGCAACCAGGAGCTACCATGCACTAAATGGTCAGGCTCAAGGGGATGTGGTTGGGACACACAACCCCATTTTGGTGTGAGAAAAGTAGAGCTGAGAGAGGCTAGGTAACCTGCCCAGGGTTACACAGTGGGAAGTGGCCTGGGGCGGGGGACGGGGAGTGGTCTGATGCCAAGGCCCATGCTCTTGACCATCAGGATCCATAACTCCTCCTTCCACAAAGCAGCCGTAGGGACCTGGGAGGATGACAGGATATCAGCTAGTCCCATGACTGGAAACAAAGTTATCTGCAGGTAGACTGGGGTAACATTCAAGAGGCCTGGAGGACAGTAGGTGAGTGTCGGACAATAAAGGGGTTGTGTCTGTGGCCAAAAGGAGAGTATGGCAGCCTCCAAAGGGGGCAGCAGATGCTCAGCTCAGGCCACGTCTGGCTGTGTGGGAATGAAGGGCCCGTATTACTAAACCATCCAATTTTTCAAGAGAAGCTGGATTTTTATCGTAAATCTCTGAAGTATTACATATTATCTAAGAATTTTCTAAAATACATTATAAGCTCAACCCCACGTGGATGAAACACAGCATATTGGATATTGGTCCACTCACCTCTACAGGTAACCCTAAGGGCTGACATTGAGGACCCTTTTCTTCAACAGGGGTCTCTATAGAAATGGAGGCTGGTTCCATGTGCATTTGGTGCACATATTCGCCCTCACTGAGCTTTATCCATTTTTTCTTGTCTTTGTTTCTGTCTGGCCATGTTTCCATGCATGTGTATCCATGACTGACATCCAGCTCATGTGCACCAGAACAGCCACACTGGTTTTTAACAGGCCAGTTAGTAAATAGCAGGTGCCTGTAGTCCCCCAGTCAGCCCATGTACCCTGACAGCCCAACCCTTTCCCTGGGATTCCCATACTACCCCTCTATCCGACAACTCCAGGGTTAACTCCTGGTAGGTCAGGGACCTCAGCTAGCACAGTTCCTTCTCTTTCTTCAGTGCCCAGGCATCCTTCCTTTCGCTCTTTCTCTCCCATTCTCTCTGTCACTATCTCCATCTCTCCCTCTCTCATAAAAATTATACACCATCTTGAATCCTTGTTGATTCAAAGATGTAAAGTTATAAACAGTGGTGTGCTGGTAAATGTTCAACAATCAGCTCTCCGGGAGTAGAGGGGAGTCCTGATTTGTAGCATTTGCTGCTTTCCATGGTGTAAATAGATATTCACACCCTGACGGATTTCAAGCCACCAACATGCTGAAATGTGGAGTTGTCAGGAGATGCGCAGTGGCACACCATTGGCTACCATTTATTATATAGACATGAAGGACACAGATAACTGCAAAAGCACAGACAATAGTAAAAAATAGTAAAATAATTAGGAAATAATGCATTTTGAGTAGTTATTACCTTCATTTCTAATATAACTTATTGTTTCTACAACTTAAATTTTTGATAATGCCTGTGTTTCACAACTAGGTCACAAATTTCCTGAAAGTTTTAGCCATCAGCTCTTGTGAGCTGATGAGCTGGCTCTAGTAACCACTGGATAAATAAACAGAGGCAGGAAAATTACAAAAACAGGTGCTTAGTGGTGAAAAAACCAGGACTCGGGAGAGTCGACATCCAACCTCAGGTGGCCAATTCAGGCCTCTCCACCCAGGACCCCCTACCTCCGCAGCAGCTCTCTACCCCTGCTGCCTAACCCCACCTACCTGCAACAAGAAGTCGAAGAGTGCCAGGCGTGCCCACTCCGTATGGTGGATGCCCAGGCATGAGGCCTGGCCAGGCCAGCTGCAACCATGTGCCAGCAGGGCCTGGTACTGCAGCCAGCCCAAGGCCAGAGAGTTCTGATCCTCATCCGGGTCGCCCAGGTGCTGCACATCGGGGGCCCACCAGATGACAGGCCTTGTGCCACCATCTGTGTAGCGGTAGGGCAGGAGGGGGCTGTGGAAGCGGCGGGCCACAGCAGGCAGGCTCCTGCGCAGCCCTAGCACACGATCTACATGAAAGGACAGGACCTCAGGTAGGTCCCCAGGCCTCTTGATCAGGCCACAGAGCCCTTGAGAGCAGAGTTGGCTGAGCCTGGGAGGGGACATGTCCTGAAGGGCACCCTCAGCAGAGAAGCCAACCTGTAGCACCTGCCCATGGGCAGGGACCCTGGCTTTGCCCACCACCTCCCCCTGAGCCAACAGTCGAAGCATCTGCACATCATGGTCTGTCAGCCATGGGGGAACCTGCCCACCAGTCCTCGAACTGCTCAACAGCCCAGGGGTCTCAGTGTCACACCATACTGACCCTTGCAGCTCCCCAACAGAGCCAGGCCACTGATGAGCCCCTGAGGCCAAGGTGGGATCCTCTTCTTGTAGTCCACCAGTCAAGGCTCTGTTCTCAGTTCCCATCAGATCCCTGCCTTCCACTCTATGGGGCCAGAGTATCAGCCCAGCAGTAGTTCTCCAAGCCGGTGAAGCTGCCACATCGCTCCCTGGGAGTGGATCAACCAGGGCGACCATCTCACTCTGCATCTCCTGGGTGGGACTGCCATGCCGGGGGTGGCCCAGGTCTTTGGCTCCTGGATCTCCGACCTCATCCTCCCTCAGGAGCACAACATGCTGAGTACTGAGTCTTGGATGTCCTGTCAAAGTAATGTCCCTCCTGACCCTCTCTGGATGCCTGAGGTCTCCTCCTGGGGACTCTCTGCTTCTGTCCACTCTCGCTCTGTGGCCTTGCTCCTCAGCACAGACCAAGATGGAGTTCCTAGGCAAAGCTCGACCTCTCCAGAAGCCCAGGTTTCTTCCCTGCTGCCTCCGGCTGGAGCTCAAAGCCTGCCAGATACGGGTTGCAGGGGCACCAGTTACCCCCTGAGGCTCCGTGGGACCAGGGTCTGGGCCGGCGGCTGGACGCTGTGGGGGAAAGTGGGTGACAGCCATCGCAGATAGGGTCATCAAGAGGCAGAATGCCATCACTGGCCGCCTCTTGCCACGCAGCCTTTTCCAGAGACAAGATGCCTGGGGGTCAGGGTAGAAAAAAAGCTTGAGACCTGGAAAGACATCAGCTCAACCCATAAAACAGTAAGGATAATAAGCAAAGGAGACTCCCAGTTCATAAGAGACTGAGAAGAGCACAGCTCAGGTGGAGGGACAGCTGGCTGCCTTCAAGAGAGGAAATGGGCAACTCCAGCCAACTGCACTCCTGCTTCCAAGCCTGGCTTGCTTTTCCTTGTAGGGCAGCCTCTGCTGAGGCCTGCAGACCCATGCTCTTCTGCCCTATTCTCCCTTTGGATAGACTGTCACCAGGCACCATAAGGGGCTTTTCTCACATCTGTCCCCATCACCAAGAGCTGGCCTTCTCTTTTCATCTCCATGTGATCCCGTGGGCCTGTTCTGGCAGATCTCTTGGTGTCCCCACACACATGCCCTTGCCCTTTTCCAGGGCACATTGCCACCCAGTTAGAAATGACTTTGCCAACCCCCTTAGCAACAGGGTATGACCACATGACCAAGTTCCTGATTATGGTATAAGAGGCAACCACTTTTACCAGCCCCACATGCTTAAAAGGAGTTTGGCCACCCTGGCCTTTCTCTCTCACCCTCCCTTGCGAGTTGCACACAGATATGGCAGCAACAGCTCTGCACGTGTTAGCAAGGACACACCCTAGGGGAAGTGATTTCTCAACACATGGTCCTTGGACCAGCAGCATCAGTATCACCTGGGGACTTGTCAGAAATGCAAATTCTTGGGGACCCACCCCAGAATTACTGAATCAGAAACGGACTGGGCAGCCTGTGTTTTAAAAAGTTCTCTGGGTAATTCTGATGCCGGTTCAAGCTTGAGAGCCACTTCTCTAGGGCATCATGAGCCACAAGAGGGAAGGAGCATGGTGTCTGGAGCAGTGCAAACCACTGCAGTTGGGAGTCTCTGTACCTGTGAGCCTTATGTGACAGACCTACAGGCAGAGCCCTGGTACATAATGGGAATCAACAGATATGTACCTGACAAAATGAATGGAAAATCTAGTCCAAGTCACAAAAACGCTCCCCAAATTAGTTTGCTTATTAAATCCACCAGATACTCCTTAGAGATATCTGATGCTATATGCAGTGTGAGGCAATTTGCTGGAATGCACAGAAAAGGCACACAGGTAAACAGAATTTTAAAGGTGTCAAAGAAACAATGCCCACAAAACAAACCAGATTCCACTTTTTTCCCCTGCATGTGCTTGCTCTTCTGAAATGCTCTCCTGTGAGTGTTAAAAGGGGATTTTCTGGGATCTGCATTGGACATGAGGGTGAAGTCCGTCATCAGTAGCCTCCTGCTTTCTCTCAAAAGTTCCACCTCTCTCCCCCGCAATCCACCCCAGCCATATCTGTCCAGTGACTCCAACCTATGACCTAAGCTGATGGGGCCATCCTAGACCCTGACCCATGCTGGGCCAACAGAGCCTCACCCCCAACCTCACTCCTGGGAGCATGGGCTTGTGATAAATCAGCAAGGCTGACTTGTCCTGCTCATGAAATAGAGAGCAGGGCCCCATTGCCACCCAGCCAAAGATGATATCAGTGGGCCATACTCTGTTGAGAGCCAGTCTGCAAGGAGAGAGAAGGAAACAGTCACACAGACAAGCCAGAGATGAAAACAGGAAGGAGTGCCTTCTCCAGCTTCCGGCACTGCAGTTCCAGTTCTGAGCTGGCCCAGGAGCAGCAGCAGCCACTGCCTGGGGCTCCTTGGAGCTGAGCAGCATCCACATACCTATTCTCCTTCTATAGTTCAGCTGTGGATCATGGGTGCTCCTGCTACGTGCAGCCAAAAAGACCTAATTAGGATCATCTCTGAGTTCTCTTCCCTCTGCAATTAAAAGAGCCTTTGCTGACCGGGCGTGGTGGCTCATGCCTATAATCCCAGCACTTTGGGAGGCTGAGGCAGGTGGATCACTTGAGGTCAGGAGTTCGAGACCAGCCTAGCCAACATGGCAAAAGCGTGTCTCTATTAAAAATACAAAAATTAGCCAGGCATGGTGGTGCATGCCTGTAATCCTAACTACTCTGGAGAATCACTTGACCCCGGCAGGAGACCCAGGAAACAGAGGTTGCAGTAAGCCAAAATCGCACCATTACGCTACAGCCTGGGGGACAGCAGCAAAATTCCACCTCCAAAAAAAAAAAAAGCTTTTCCTCCTCTCCTTCAGTACCCATTTGACCTTCTCCTTCCTTCCAACCACGCGGCCCAGAGGAATGCTGCCCCTCATGAATTTCTTAATTTATCCATGTTTTCATTCCCTTCTATTTATTTATATATTTTTGAGACGGAGTTTTGCTCTTATTGCCCAGGCTGGAGTGCAATGGCCTGGTCTGGGCTCACTGAAACTGCCTCCTGGATTCAAGCAATTCTCTTGCCTCAGTCTCCTAAGTAGCTGAGATTCTAGGTGTGCCACCACCACGCCTAGTTCATTCCCTTCTAAGCCAGTGGCAGTTTCTGCAGGAACCGAACACATTTATCAGCACCATGAACATCAGAAAATAATCAAAAGGAAGTGAGAAAACTCAGTTACAGCCCAGCTATAAAAAGTGCCCATGGCTGCCTCCTACCTCTAGTTCCTCCACACTGGTTCTCTCCCTGTTCTACCCTCTTCTGCCTTCTGGACATGAGGCCAGCATCTCCCTCTTAGCACCTCCATGAATGGTGCACTGTCTCTTGGCCCCACTTTTGCCAAACACCGCAGCCTCAGGGGGCCAGTGTGTGGTGGTGGAAGGAGCACTGGACAGGGGTCAGCAGGCTGAAGTCTGCGGGGCCACATTACCCCACTCTCTGGACCAGCTTCCTCATCTACAAGGGATTGGGTTGGCTGAAATAGCCTTTGAGGCCTCACTTCCCACAATACCCAGTGATTCTAGCTCTTGGTGGACAGTGGAGGTGGACTCAGCTCTGGGCTCCCCTGAACCTCCTTCTGCCCATGACAGGCACCTGTAGCAGAGCAAAGCTGCACAAGAGGACCCACACACGCCACCATTGCCCAGTAAGAGGATATGGGCCCTTAAGGGTGGCTTTCAGAGAAGAGGATTGAAATGAGGGTTTTCTGCCACTGCCCAGTCACCACTGGGAGACCCAATCACCCACCTTGGCCTGAACAGTGAGACCATGATAACCCAAGCCTCCCTTGCAGCTCTGAGCTGATTTCCCAAGACCCAGTGGGACACACCAATACAGGGTGACTCAGGGCCAAAGGACACCTTCCATCCACCTGAAGCTGCTGCTGGAGGGACCACTTACACTAACCTTCCCTCCCCCATACCTGGAGGGGAGGAGATAGTAGAGAAAATCCCCTTGGCCTCTGGCACTTAGGTGCTAAAACATCTTCCCACTCACCTGACACCCCAGGCATTCGTGCTTCTGTGAAGAAGCCAGCAGGCGAGCCTGTGTCCCAGGGCCACAAATCCCCTGCTTGGACACCCTGATTTAAGTGGGGAACCGCAAAATAATAAATAGTGGGGAAAACAGGTGAGGGCAGGCTTCTGATATCCCCTCTCCCCCAACTTCAGCAGGGCCTCCAGGACCACAGGGCAGGGAGACAAAGCCTAGAGAATATTTTCCTTGTCAGTTGTGTGGTCCTCTAGACAACCTGTGCTCCCCAAACCTGGATTGCATCTGTAATCTCTTGCCTGTTTACCAGAGATGGGATGGAACAATGGTTCTTAAACTAGCTCTGAGGGTTCCTTCATGTTCTACCATGGGGTAGGGGGTTAGGAGATGACTCTGTATGCTCTGCACTCACCACTCTCACTCCACACACCCACACGCACATACACTTCCACCAAGACAGCTCTGTGTTCTTTCATTAGGTAGGTTTAGCTTATTTACAGTACTTGATATGTTATGCATGTTTAGTCTTAGTTCTGTCATAATATTTTACAGTACACTTTCTGTATGGCAAACCAGAATAAAATTCTAAGCCCCCTGACCATCTGAATGGACCCCTTCTTTCAGCTAAGGGCATTCCAAAGTTAACCTGAAAAACTGGTGTAGGCCATGATGGGAAGAGGAAGCCAGACAAGCCTCATCATGCCCTCCTCCCTTTTGAAATGTAGGCCCAGATGACCAACATTGACATCAACACATACCTTAAGACTGATAGAACAGCCTCTTTATGTCTGATAAGAAGCATTTACAATCTGTTCCCTGAGGCCAGCTACCTAGAGGCTCCAACTACATGATAAAACCTTGGTCTCCACAAGCTCTTATCTTAACTTGGATATTTCTTTCTATTGACTCCAAGTCTTTAGACAATAACTTAACTCTTTCAACCAATTGCCAATCAGAAAATCTTTGAATCTACCTATGACCTAGAAGCCCCTACTTCCAGTTGCCCTTCCTTTCTGGACCCAACCAATATACATCTTAAATGTATTGATTGATGTCGTATGTCTCCCTAAAATGCATAAAACAAAGTTGTAGTCTGATAACCTGCTCTCAGGATCTCCTGAGGGCTATGTCACTGGCCACTGGCCACTCATATTTGGCTCAGAATAAATCTCTTCAAATATTTTACAAGCTTGATCTTTTCATCAACAGTATTTATAAGATTTGAAGTCTTATATTATGTTTTCTTTTCACTTACTTTTACTTGTCTTTTGCTGTATATTTCTTATAATATTTAGGAAATTTTGATTTGGGTCCTAATGATTGTATGCCCTTAGTTGACTGGTTCTTTAGACTGTAACTGTTAATCCTGTAAAAAGAACAACATTAAAATTATTTTCTCTCCCTGCTCCCTTTCCTCTACCATTCAGTTTTCATCATCTTTTTAATGTTTGCCTTTGTACGATTAAATATGTTTACATTTCTATATATTTTTCAGCTTTAAATAATATTCTTTAGTTGCCTGCTATTATTAATGAAGTAAACAGCGTATTAGTTCTTTCCTCCAACTTTTGCCTTCATCCCCCTTCCAATTGTTTATATTTGTGTCATTTCTGCATTGGTACAATAGCAAGCATATACATTCAATTCCCTC